TGTTACCGCCTCAAGAACACACCTGGAGTTGTGTTCTGTTTCATTCACACATGTCATCCTTATTATTAGTGTGTTTACTCAAAATGCTCTGTTCCACCTTGTGATGTCATGAAGTGGTAGTTTCCAAGTTAATAGCTCCTTTTACCTTTAGTTTAGCAGAGACTGAAATTATCCAACTGATTCTTATTACCACTTGACATCACAAGGTGGAACGGAGTGTTTAAGATTACAGTTTATGTTTGGACAGATGTGTTCTATGTCAGCATTTGAGAATGCATGGATTAGGTGGGTGACGTATCTCACAGCTGTGGTGTATTTTGGTGACTCAAGCTCTGATACTTAAAGTAGAACTAAACTGTGGAACTGTGCGTCTGGTGTTTTAATGACATGATCTAAACTTCCAGGTCATTTTTATCAGCTTAAGTTGGTAAAAACTTAAGTTTTAAATTCACATCTTTCTTTTCAAAAACACTTACACCTAAGAGTGTGCTGCCTCCAGTGGTCTCTACAGTTGCCAGTAGTTGGTGACATCACACACGACTGCCCTGATTACAGTCAGATATTGCTGATACAAACACCTGTCTGCAGGGGTGGAGTTTTAAGCGTTAGACCTTCAGGTAGGGCCCAGTTTAACAGCTCTATGTGAAATGTCATTATAGATAAGTTTAGTCCTATGTCAAAATGTGTGAATGGAACAAAACACTAACCCAGGGATGTTTTGGGGCAAACAATATTATACCAGGGTCAAAATCACAAAAAAGTCTGTGAACCTATATCCTCTTTTGTGTGGACGCGCTGACACTGCCTTCGCTCATGCACAGTATCATAAGCAGAAAATCTGAAAAATCATGACACATTCTCCACCATCCCACAATCCTCCACAGCCGGCAGCACAATCAATAGTACATGCTTTTCTGTAGATCTACAATCGCTTTTATCAAATCTTATTTTTGACTTTTTTACCGGCCTCAGTCAGTCGTGACAGCGTTGCATAAAAGAAATGAAACTCTTAACACAAGTTTCCATACAGCATTTTTGTATAGAGATGCGTTGGATTACCATAGAGTTTACTGCATTCATGCATACTTGAAGTGAAGGAGATTATCCAAGCTACGCAACAGTGTGAACGGACCCATGATAAGGTGCAGTGTCTGTGTGAAAAAGGAAAAGTGCTGTAATATATAATACTGGGATGGAGTCAAACATGAGGACAGCAAACTCCTGTCGTCTGTTGATACTTTGCAGCTGATTTAATGATGCTAACTAGAAGCCCTGCTCTGTCTGAAGCTCTGTTATGCAAGTTAGACTTTAATCTTTTTGTTCTAATAGAATTGTAACAGAAAGAGACGACTTAGCTGCAACTACAACAGGTGAGTGAAGAATCAGTCTTCCCTCAGTCGTCCAGGTAGAATCCATGTCGAGGAGAAAATTCAGTTTGTCGATTGGACAAAAGTTAGTTTGGTTGAAGACGTTTCGCAGCTCATCCAAGCTGCTTCTTCAGTTCTGGTCAGACGTTGGTGGACACTTCCTTACATCTGTCTGCAGGGAGGAGCTAACAAACTGAAACTAACACACACACTCGTTTACAGTTTCTGTTTGTTAGTTGGGCCTATTAACCTGTGCAGGGTGTGGGGTCATATTATCAGAACAATTCATGGCCATAATGGAGCTCCCACACCTCTGGACCTGAACTGGCTACACCTGTTGTTCTCTTGTTTGTTTTGATTTCGGTTTGAGGATGGAGTTGTAAATAGGAGATAGATGGTGTCTGAGTCTCCATTTCTGTTTAGAGAAGGATTCTCTTTCTTAACAAAAATGGCTTCTTTCACTCCCCTCTCAAACCAATTCTTTTCTCTGGCTAAAATCTGTACCTCACTGTCCTCAAATGAGTGACCTGTGGCTTTTAAGTGGAAATGTACAGCAGACTGAGATCCACAGCTGCTCTCTTGTCTGTGTTGGTACATCCTCTTGTGAAGTAGCTGTTTTGTTTCTTTAGACAGAGACTGGTCCACCCAAAGGACAAAACACCGAGCCACAAACAAAGCAATGTGCTCTACTCTATTCAGTGCAGTGAAGACTGCAGTGAACGCTACACTGGAGAAACTTAGTTAGTGTTAGTTTCAGTGTAATTAGCTCCTCCCTGCAGACAGATATAAGGAAGTGTCCACCAGCGTCTGACCAGAACTGAAGAAGCAGCTTGGATGAACTGTGAAACGTCTTCAACCAAACTAACTTTTGTCCAGTCGACCAACTGAATTTTCTCCTCAACATACAATGGATGAGCTTAAACAAGTCTCTCACATATAAAATGACTATCCCAAACAAACCTAAGCAAGATCGTGTACACTTGTTTTGATCGAAGGCTCCTCAAAAAGTGTTGTTTAAATCCATTTTGTAGTTTTTCTTTTTTGTTAAATTTCAGGTTGTTTGATAATGTGTACATGGAGTGCATTGTGCCTCCATAGTAACTGCTGAACATTCCGTCATAGACATACATGCATATCATCCGAGTGTGATGTCACTGCAAAGTATCAATAGTTATAGTTGGTCTGAGAGCTCTGGTCATGCTTTCAAATGAGCATCAGCATAGACAGTAGAATAAAGTGGACTCTCGGAATAGAGGATATTTCCTGGTACTTTTTTGGTACTTGTTTGAATGCAGCTCAAGTATTTCATCTCATTCTGAAAACACAGACGGTCTACTACTATAACTCAACTTAGAAGTCCCAGATCCTGCATAAGAGATTGCCCAATATGAAGTTTTGGAGCTGATATTAAAAATGGGAATGACACATGCACGGCACACACACCAGTGCAGGGAAAATATTGGTGTCAAATATCAGTAACATTTTCCTCTTGATATTTCTGGTACTGATATTGGAACCAACATCTCTCATGCACTAGTCAGGCTTTTCAAACTACCTGTGCATGCCCCAGTTTATATAACGAGAACGACATCACAAAGCAGGAAGACATTTGGAAACATACGATGAAAAGTTCCGGTGTAGTTCCCGACACTGGACTCATCGACAGATTGTGATCAAACCCACTGGAGTAAATGTGATCAGTGGTAAAATGAAGACTGCAGACGTATGTGCTGTTTGGAATCATCTGGAATTTGGTTGGAATTGTTGATGAGCCAAACATAACAGAACACTACAAAGACATGAAGATGAAAAAAACTGGGACATTTTCTCATTTTTCTTAGATTTTGTCACACGTACTACTGAGCCCACAGGAAGTTGTCGTCGCATGTTTCCAAACGTCTTTCTGGTTTGTTTGGTTTGGTAAGCGTGAATAGAGCCTGTGGGGCGAGGACTTCAACGGAGGATGATGCACTGAAGAGGGAAGCACATCAAATCAGGCTGTTAATACTAGCTGCTACAAAAAATACTCAAAATAAGACTGCCGTGTACTTTACCATACTGCATCTAATTATAAAGCGTTGTGTTGTCTGATAATACAGAAGTGCACAATTAGTGAGTTACTAATTCCTGAACGTCATAATTGTGTTTTTCAAAATTTTAAGAGTGTACAAATCTGGTACAGGGTTTTCAAACTGTTCAAAAGTACCGTAATTTCTGGACTATAAGCCGCTACTTTTTTCTCACACTTTGAAGCCAGCAGCTTTTACAATGATGAGGCGAATATATGGACAGATTCATTGTTTGGCACATGGTTCATTTGTATATACAGTCTATGGTTTGGCAACACAGCGGATGCGCCTCAGCCTGAGTGCAGAAAACGCCGCTGTCTGTGCGGTTCACATGAAGTTGTAATGTTAGAGCTGTTGTCAGCACTGAAACAGTTTATCGCCGTGTGATCAAATAAGTTGTGATGCTACAGTAAATGAACATTAGTGAGCGGGATTCATAATAACAACCTGTATGTGTTAAATCCAGGTGAGTGTGTAAATGATGAGAAGAAATGTCTCAAACTTCAGCAGCCGGACATCCACTCATACCTGATCCATACACCTGTCCCCGCCCCCGAGAGAGTCTGAAATCTGCTGAAATCCTACAAGACTCTGACATGATACAGACAAGACAGAGACTCTTGAAGATGTGGACACCTGTGGCTTATAGACAAGTGCTGCCTATATATGTTAAAAAAAAATAAAATTTGTTGATGCAACTTATAGTCCGGAAATTACGGTAGTCACATTTCAGAGTCCACATGCCCAAATGTCCAACCCTCATCAAAGCATAACAGTAACACCACAATCAGATTGTAAAGGGACAAGCTTTAAGTCACATTCTAATGTGGTTTCCACATCACAATTAGACCTGCAGTTGTGTTTTGTTTCATTCACACATGTACACATGCGCTATTAGGCTGTCTATATCTCCAAAACACTTGAAAACTGGTTTCTTGTCAATTTTGTTCAGTTGTGAAGTTGAGCCACAGAAAGACACAAACAGCTCAAACAAAAACTGTAGCTTCAAAGTTAAACTAATCCAGGCCTGAAATGACCCACGTGATTCTAGTGGAGGTGTGTGGAGTTTAAAAACACAGTGAAGCACGACCTGTATCACCACATGACATCACAAGGTGCTTTCACAAGGAGTGTTTTCAGTTTGAGAGAAAAACTCAGTCTAACTCAGCAGGATTTTGGTGTGAATGAAACAAAACACAGTTCCAGTTATGTTTTTTGAGGAAACAACATTAGAACATAAATTATAAATGAGTGTAATACAGGCCCTTTCAAACTTAAAATACTTTTGGTATTTTGATAATACTGTCCTTGTTTTGGTCCGTTTATTCTTACTGTCAATGTTTTTTGCAAAATCAACCAGAATCGACCAAAATCAACGGACTGAGTAAAATCATGAATTTGAAATGACTCATGAGCCCTGTGTGTTTGTGCGTGTGCGTGTTAAGTGTGAAAAGATGAACATTCCATAGCACAGTTCAGTCCAGAGAGGGTGGGGTCCCATGGGTGCAGCCGGGTCGGGGGAAGAGGGTGCAGTGGGCGGGACCAGTGGGCGGGACTTGGAGCGTTAGTCATTTAGCGCTCCTGGCAGCTCATTGGTTAGCGTGTGCCAACGCTCGATTTTCTTGTCCTTGTTTTTGAGGCAGTCAAACCAGTGCTTGAGCCGCTCCCCGTTTGCATTGATGCCCAAAGACACGCCCCCTGCAGGTTACATGACACATTACAGTTCAGTTACATTAATGACACTACCGCACATCGCATCAGGTTTGTGAAGTTGTTGTGTACAGTTTTGTATCATGTTTTTGTATTTATGAATTGTGAACTGTCGTGTGGGAGCATGGGTGACGTGGGCTTGTGGGTGGAGCCTTGCACACACTCTTGCACTTAACTGTAAAGAGGGTTTGAATAGGGCCCAGGCGAGATTGCTAAATTACTCAAACATGCTTGTATCTAAAACCTCTCCAGTTAAGTTTTTGATGAGGGAACAACGTGGGACATGGGAGAAAGCTCAAAATGTTTTTGCATAATACTCTATTTTTCACACCCATGACTTGGTATTTTACACTTTAATAACGTCTAAATATTACAGGTACGGACAATGAGTTCTGTTTTAGCCCCAAAGTCTGCATGGATTGGGTGTCAGACACCCATTTAGAAAAGACAAAGTCCCACATAAAAATGATTTGTTTTTGCATTGATGGAAGCATCGTTCATGGGCAGAGGTGGGTAGAGTACCCCAAAATTACTCAAGTAAGAGTACTTCAAAATATTAACTCAAGTAGAAGTGGTGGTCCAAGAAAATGCAAAAAAGTATTTGGGAATACTACTACTCAATTAAGAATACCTTAATAATGAGTAACTGTTGGGACATAACATGTGAGATGAGGTTAAATGTTTTTGAGGTCCTCATTTATGAAACTGCCGTACGGTGAGATCAGTGTGTATATTTAGTGTAAAACAAAAATGAATCAGTACAAATATTTAGTGTACGACACACAAATGACTAACTGCACAGGAAAACAACTTTTAACTGCATGAAACATATTGCTCCTTAATATGTTTTATTTTTTAGAATCAGTTGATCCAAAATTCCATTAATTTTTTTTTGTTCACTTTTGTTTGATTATTTGTTCCACACCAGGCGATAAAATAGTTATTATGTAGCACATAGACTCCAGTGTGGAGTCCAGTGACATATATCCAGCACTCCTGCACACAGTGGGTTTGACTGTGCGTGACTCGGGGATGCGGGCTCCAAAATGCAGTGAAATACAGTAAAAAGTCCCCTGGTGAGGACCCCAGACCCTCTGATACACACAGTATCACACATTTGTAATATTAAAGTCAAACACCAACAGAAATCATGGTCACAAAGTACAAACATTGACAATATTTTCTCCCTCAACCCCAGTCTCCTGCTTTTTGATAATCCCAGTGTGATCACCCTAAGATACATTCACTTCAGTTACTGGACTAGTTTCCCCAAATGCGTTCTTCTAATTTGAGTACCACTATTTTGTACTTCTACTTGAGTAAAATTATTTTACTTGAGTACATTTTTGGCCACTATTCCCATCCTCCTTGGCTAGGCTGAGTAGTTTGAGTGTTCTACAGTTCTACAATAGGTCCAGTTTAAAGAGCTGTTACCAATGAAGTCGTTGGATTTGCCGATGTCGTAGTCCCACACAGTCACCTCCAGGGTCTTCTTGGTCAGGTCTGCATATTTAATGTCATAACAGAACTCCTGCAGCAGAGGGACAAGACACACATTACCAACACCACAAAGCTCTTATATTACACAAAACTGACCATGATGTTGTTCCCTCCACGTGAACAGAGCTGGACTTGTGTTTTGTTCCTTTTACATGTTTGACTAACTCTTTCTTTTTAGTCTGTCTACATTTCCAAAGCTCTAAATGCTCTTTTCCATCTTGTGATGTCATGAGGCAGTAGTTTAAAGTGAACAGCTCCTTTTACCTTGATTATAGTGAACAATGGAGCACTGAATTACGCTATGACATCACAAGGTGGAACAGAATGTTTTGTGTTTGAGAGAAGAACTTAGCCTAAATCTGCAGGGTTTTGTGTTAAACATGTGTGAATGAAACAAACACAACTCCAGGTCTGTTTGTGATGAGGAAACGACATCAGAACAGATGAGAAAATAATGTATTATGGCCAATTTAAAAACGTCATGTTGTGCTTGTGTCTGCTGAAATTATATTTGCACATTTTCAATCCTTCACTGAGGGAGGAGCCTGTTTTCTGCTGAGATCATCTACAAGCTACAAGCTGACACTGACGTCTGCTCTCAGTGGACACCACAATCTAAACTATAATAAGATGGAAGTCAGAGGAATTGCTTCTTTTATTAAGTCATTTTAGATCAATATTGTGATTTAAAATGTCCAAATTATAACATAATGATCCACAGGTTTCACAGATTCTTACTGTAGAGCACACACAAACACAAGATTTTTTCTTTAAGGTGTGTTGGATTGAGGACACGTGCTGAAAATATCAGTCTGTTTATTCCTACAAGTACAAAGATCTGCATCCAACAACAAACAAACAACTAATAAATAAATAATAATATACACCATACAAAAAGATCGACCTCAAAACAAGCCTGAAGTGACACTCATGAACTTTTGCTAAAATCATCAGCCCCTCACATGGACACTGGCTTCAACAGGACCCTAAACCACAGTGTGTCCTCTTCTAAAGGAACAGAGGACAGAACTTTAATTTCACCCATGAAGCTGCTACTTTGACATGAAACTTTATGTCACGTGTATCATGTAAATCTGTGAGTGAAATCTGACTCATGTACAAACATCACACTGTTCAACTGCACTGTGGAAACGTCTCATACTCATCTCATCTGTTTTATTTATGATGGAAACATTGTTTAATGTCATTGATTATCATCATATTATGTCATTGTATTATGATTACAGCTGTTATTTATGCTACAGTCAAAGTTAACAATGTCATTTTTATTTTAAACTGGAGTTCAAGAAGGACGAGCTGAGAGGAAGCCCTGATATGTCCATGTAATGTCATCAGGACGCCAGGCCCTGTCCACCGGGCCCTGTCCACCGGGCCCTGTCCCATAAGAGGCAATATATATTCTTACATACTGGTGCAACCCGCGTAAAGCAGTCATTATTTCTACAATGAGAATATATTTTTCCATGTATTTTGAACCAGTAAATGTAGACATATTTAAATAATGCAAGACAGAGTCCTGATGGCAGATGTAATGTGAACAGATGAGATGAGAATATATATTCAAAAGATATAATGTTTTGTGTTAATCTCATTCTGGAAAGCCGCGGGTCGCTCACATGAGAGGATTGTGTAGTCTGAGTGTGACCGCTGCTGGGGTCAGAGAATGGCCAGAGGGTGAGAGGAGGACACTGCCCGCAAATGTCAACCAAATGTCACAATCACAGTGACACGCAGTCCACACGCTCCTGTCATCCCACAATACTGTACTGGACATCCTCTGCACCAAAACACCTGAAACACCTGACATCCTCTGCACCAAAACACCTGAAACACCTGACATCCTCTGCACCAAAACACCTGAAACACCTGACATCCTCTGCACCAAAACACCTGAAACACCTGACATCCTCTGCACCAAAACACCTGCCAGTACATCCTCTGCACCAAAACACCTGCCAATACAATCTCTGCACCAAAACACCTGCCAGTACATCTCCTGCACCAAAACACCTGAAACACCTGACATCCTCTGCACCAAAACACCTCCTGCACCAAAACACCTGCCAGTACATCTCCTGCACCAAAACACCTGCCAGTACATCCTCTGCACCAAAACACCTGCCAGTACATCCTCTGCACCAAAACACCTGCCAGTACATCCTCTGCACCAAAACACCTGCCAGTACATCTCCTGCACCAAAACACCTGCCAATACATCCTCTGCACCAAAACACCTGACATCCTCTGCACCTCTGCACCAAAACACCTGCCAGTACATCCTCTGCACCAAAACACCTGAAACACCTGACATCCTCTGCACCAAAACACCTCACATCCTCTGCACCTGCAAATGTCAACCAAATGTCAGCCATCAGAGAGACATGCAGTCTTCATCACAGCTGAGGCTGTTTGAATGTCCTGCTACAGATCCTCAAGATCAGCCCCAGAAATGTAGAGCTGCTCAGCCTCTCAGCCATTTTTAGTTAGTAACTAAGTCCAGCCCCGTTGTGTTTTAGAGCGAAACTTCTTAAAACCACATCTTTAAACTGCATTCATCTGAAGACAGGGAGGGTTAAGCTCAGAGTTGCTTTTTTAAAGGGGTAGTAAAGAAGTTAAATGAAGCTATTGTTGTGAAGATAGAGAATCACTCTCTGAACAGGCATGGTGGACACAGAAGTGTCCATAGACCTTGGAATAAAGCTACAGCAAGCCAATCAAACACTAATCAGATACCGTATTTTCTGGGCTATTAGTCGCTCTAGATTATAAGTCGCACTGTCATAGAATGGTCTATTTTCCAACTTTTTTCACATATAAACTGCACCAGACTATAAGGTGCATTAAAGGAAACCCAACAGTGTGATGGGTGAGTGGTTTTGTTTGTTTGTGGTGTTCACGGTGACTCTGGGCTTTGTTCAGTTGTGGTGTGTAGGGAGGGTGCTGTCTGGGACCAACGGATTGTCGGCGTGTTCAGTGACTCAGTTGTTCAGTTGTGTCTAGAAGTGGCACATTGCACTTGCTTTTTCGGTTTGTTCCTTCGTTCCGTTCCTCGTCGTGGAGTGATGAGTGTGTCTGTGGGTGTGTTTCTCTGTGCGGTCGCTGTCTGCTCCGTGTGTGTTTGCGTGTTCTGTGGGTGGTGCAGCTTTGTAGTTTACTGAAGTCGTGCTGGGACACCTGAGTGGATTAGTGTATAGGGCACTCTGGACTGTGGGGCGCGCGGTCGTTTTTTGATGGAGTTAGAGGCTTAAGAGCGCGTCTAATAGTCCGGAAAATACAGTATTTAACAAGGAACGCAAATGCACAATAACAACCTGTAATGATGTTAGCTGCAAACAAGGGCAGGCCAGTGTGGGGCTGGACTGAGTGAACTCAGTGTTGGACAAACCCTATAGAACCTCAAGCCAGTTCCATCAAACTGAAAATGGTTTCTAGATGGAAACCAAAACCAAACCAAAACATCTTGATTAGAAAAACAGTGCCCAGATGAACACGGTTGAAACCTGCTCTACAATGAGATAAACATGACTGGGTTAAATGTTTTACTCTTGTATTACACAGGAGGTCCATGTATAGTATGTTTGGGTCAAATGTCCATACCTCGTTGAATTCTGGGTTGAGCGTCTTCTTCTTCACGGCCGTCTTGTGCTTGGATTTCTTGTTCTCGTCTGGCTTCAGATACCTGCACACACACAACCACGAGAGGAGACGGAGAGGTGAGGAGGCTGCTGCTTCTCCACAACAAAAGTTTCATATTGCATCTTTAAAGGCCTGTAGTACACAGAATGGACTCTTGTGAGCTTTCAGTGATGTTACTGCTACCTGCCCAAACTCAGACGTGGAGTTGTGTTTTTACACATGTTTGAGTACTCCTGCATTATTAGTCTGTTTACATTAAGTCTGTTTTCCATTTTTTCAAGAGGTAGTTTTAAAGTAACACCTAATTTATACCTTTAGTTCAGCAGAGATTGGCAATTCCAGAAGAAATTATCCAAATTATTCCAGTGAAGTTAGTCAAGTGAAGTAGTGAAAGAGTTTAAAACACAGTGGAGCACTTTCTGCTCCTCCTTGAACCGTCACCTTATCGTGGTGGAGGGGTTTGAGTGCCCGAATGATCCCAGGAGCTATGTTGTTGGGGGCTTCATGCCCCTGGTAGGGTCACCCAAGGCAAACAGGTCCGGGGGGACGGGTCAGACGAAGAACGGTTCAGAAGCCCCTTATGATGAATCACACACAGAGGCCAGTTACGTCGCCCGGATTGGCGTCACCGGGGCCTCACCCTGGAGCCAGGCCTGGGGTGGGTGCTCGCCAGCGAGCGCCTGGTGGCCGAGCCTCCCCCCACGGGGCTCGGCCAGGCTCAGCCCGAAGGAGCGACGTGGGGCCGTCCTCACGTGGGCCCACCACCCGCAGGAGGATCCATATGGGGCCGGTGCAGAGAGATCTGGGCAGCAGTCGACGGCGGGGGCCTCGGCGACCAGATCTCCGGACATGGAGACTAGCTCTGGGGACATGGAATGTCACCTCGCTGGGGGGGAAGGAGCCTGAGCTTGTGCGGGAGGTTGAGCGTTACCGACTAGATATAGTCGGCCTCACCTCCACGCACAGTTTGGGCTCTGGAACCCAACTCCTTGAGAGGGGCTGGACTCTCCATTTCTCTGGCGTTGGCCGCGGGGAGCGGCGGCGGGCTGGTGTGGGCCTGCTCATTGCCCCACAGCTCAGTCGCTGTGTGTTGGAGTTCACCCCGGTGAACGAGAGGGTCGCGTCCCTGCGCCTTCGGGTCGGGGACAGGTCTCTCACTGTGGTGTCGGCCTACGGGCCGAACAGCAGTGCAGAGTACCCGGCCTTCTTGGAGTCCTTGGGAGGGGTACTAGACAGTGCACCGACCGGGGACTCCGTTGTTCTCCTGGGGGACTTCAACGCCCACGTGGGCAACGACAGTGACACTTGGAGAGGGGTGATTGGGAGGAACGGCCTCCCCGATCTGAACCCGAGCGGTGTTTTGTTATTGGACTTCTGTGCTAGTCACAGTTTGTCCATAACGAACACCATGTTCGAGCACAAGGGTGTCCATAAGTGCACGTGGCACCAGGACACCCTAGGCCGGAGGTCGATGATCGACTTTGTCGTCGTGTCATCTGATCTCCGGCCGCGTGTCTTGGACACTCGGGTGAAGAGAGGGGCTGAGCTGTCAACTGATCACCACCTGGTTGTGAGTTGGGTTCGCTGGCGGAGGAGGAAGCCGGAAAGACCTGGCAGGCCCAAGCGTGTAGTGAGGGTCTGTTGGGAACGTCTGGCGGAGCCCTCTGTCAGAGGGACCTTCAACTCGCACCTCCGGGAGGACTTCTCCCGGATTCCGGGGGAGGCCGGAGATATGGAGTCCGAGTGGGCTTCATTCTCGGCCTCTATTGTCAATGCAGCTGCTCGGAGCTGTGGGCGTAAGGTCTGTGGTGCCTGTCGCGGCGGCAACCCCAGAACCCGGTGGTGGACACCGGAAGTAAGGGATGCTGTCAAGCTGAAGAAGGAGTCCTATCGGGCCTTGCTGGCTCGGGGGACTCCTGAGGCAGCTGACAGGTACCGGCGGGCCAAGCGTGCTGCAGCCCGTGTGGTCGCGGAGGCAAAAACTCGGAGCTGGGAGGAGTTCGGGGAGGCCATGGAGAAGGACTATCGGACGGCCTCAAAGAGATTCTGGCAAACCGTCCGGCACCTCAGGAGGGGAAAGCAGTTCTTCACCAACACTGTTTACAGTGCGGGGGGAGAGCTGCTTGAACCTCGACTGGGGACGTTGTCCGGCGGTGGAAGGAATACTTTGAGGATCTCCTCAATCCCACCGTCACGTCCTCCGAGGAGGAGGCCGAGGCTGGGGACTCGGAGGCGGACTCATCCATCACCCTGGCCGAAGTCACTGAGGTGGTTGGCAAGCTCCTTGGTGGCAAGGCTCCGGGGTTGGATGAGATCCGTCCTGAGTACCTGAAGTCTCTGGATGTTGTGGGGCTGTCTTGGCTGACACGCCTCTTCAACATCGCGTGGCGGTCGGGGACAGTACCTCTGGACTGGCAAACCGGGGTGGTGGTCCCTCTGTATAAGAAGGGGGACCGGAGGGTGTGTTCCAACTATAGGGGGATCACACTCCTCAGCCTTCCCGGTAAGGTCTATGCCAGGGTACTGGAGAGGAGAATCCGGCCGATAGTCGAACCTCGGATTCAGGAGGAGCAGTGTGGTTTTCGTCCTGGCCGTGGAACACTGGACCAGCTCTACACTCTCCATAGGGTGCTCGAGGGTTCATGGGAGTTTGCCCAACCAGTCCACATGTGTTTTGTGGATCTGGAGAAGGCATTCGACCGTGTCCCTCGTGGTGTCCTGTGGGGGGTGCTCTGGGAGTATGGGGTCCGGGGCCCTTTGCTAAGGGCTGTCCGGTCCCTGTATGACCGGAGCAGGAGCTGTGTTCGCATTGCCGGCAGTAAGTCAGACCTGTTCCCGGTGCATGTTGGACTCCGCCAGGGCTGCCCTTTGTCACCGGTTCTGTTCATTGTATTTATGGACAGAATTTCTAGGCGCAGTCAGGGGCCGGAGTGGGTCCGGTTCGGGGACCACAGGATTTCATCTCTGCTGTTTGCGGACGATGTTGTTCTGTTGGCTTCATCGAGCCAGGACCTGCAGTGTGCACTGGGGCGGTTTGCAGCCGAGTGTGAAGCGGCTGGGATGAAGATCAGCTCTTCCAAGTCCGAGGCCATGGTTCTCGACCGGAAAAAGGTGGCTTGCCCTCTCCGGGTGGGTGGGGAGTCTTTGCCTCAAGTGGAGGAGTTCAAGTATCTCGGGGTCTTGTTCGTTGTGGTGAAGAGGGAGCTGAGTCGAAAGGCGAAGCTCTCGATTTACCGGTCAGTCTTCGTTCCTACTCTCACCTATGGTCATGAGCTCTGGGTAGTGACCGAAAGGACAAGATCGCGGATACAAGCGCTCGAAATGAGTTTCCTCCGCAGGGTGGCTGGGCGCTCCCTTAGAGATAGGGTGAGGAGCTCAGTCACACGGGAGGAGCTCGGAGTAGAGCCGCTGCTCCTCCAGGTCGAGAGGAGCCAGTTGAGGTGGCTCGGGCATCTGTTCCGGATGCCTCCTGGGCGCCTCCCTCGGGAGGTGTTCCGGGCATGTCCCACCGGGAGGAGGCCCCGGGGAAGACCCAGGACACGCTGGAGGGACTATGTCTCTCGGCTGGCCTGGGAACGCCTCGGGGTCCCCCGGAGGAGCTGGAGGACGTGTCTGGGGTGAAGGAAGTCTGGGAGTCCCTGCTTAGGCTGCTCCCCCCGCGACCCGGCCCCGGATAAGCGGACGAAAATGGATGGATGGATGGATGGAGCACTTTCTGTATTTCATCATCACAAGGTAGAAGAGAGAGGTTTTTTTATTTGAGAGAAGAAGTATGATTTGATGAGAAACTTTATAACATAGATGAGAAAATAGCATGATGTATAAGTCCATGTTTAGTTCAGCTGTGTTTCCCATTTCTTCTTATTTGATGTTTTCAGAATTTATTTACTAATGAGTTCATTTATGTTCTCCATTGACCAAAGTAACTTTGCGACTAAACAGCCACAAAATCTTTCTGGCACAAAGGGCCCATATATTTGTCTGTTCTTCAAAAGTTTAGTTTGAATTGAGGGCCATTTTGGTCCAGCATTTTTGGACACTGCACTGACCATCTCTAGGGGGCGCACACTCTGACTGAAACCGTGAAAATGAAAGATGGCTTTGACTGCTCTTTATAGTGGCTAAAAATTCACACACAAGTATCCAAAAATAACAACATAGCAGACCTAGACCTAGACCATGGTTCAGTCCAAGTTTAGTCCTGTTTTATTCCTGATTCAGTCCTGGTTTAGTCCTGGTGCAGTACTTGTGTAATCCTTGTGCAGTCCTGGTTCAGTCCTGGTTTAGTCCTGGTTCAGTCCTGGTTCAGTCCTGGTTTAGTCCTGGTTTAGTCTTGGTTTAGTCCTGGTTTACTTCTGGTTTAGTCCTGGTTCAGTCCTGGTTTAGTCCTGGTTTAGTCTTGGTTTAGTCCTGGTTTACTTCTGGTTTAGTCCTGGTTTAGTTCTGGTTTAGTCCTGGTTTAGTTCTGGTTTAGTCCTGGTTTAGTCTTGGTTTAGTTCTGGTTTAGTTCTGGTTCAGTCCTGGTTTAGTCCTGGTTTAGTCTTGGTTTAGTCCTGGTTTACTTCTGGTTTAGTCCTGGTTTAGTCTTGGTTTAGTCCTGGTTTACTTCTGGTTTAGTCCTGGTTTAGTTCTGGTTTAGTCCTGGTTTAGTTCTGGTTTAGTCCTGGTTTAGTCTTGGTTTAGTTCTGGTTTAGTCCTGGTTTAGTCAAGATTTAGTTCTGGTTCAGTCCTGGTTTAGTCCTGGTTTTTAGTCTTGGTTTAGTCCTAGTTTAGTTCTGGTTTAGTTCTGGTTTAGTCCTGGTTTAGTCTTGGTTTAGTCCTGGTTTAGTTCTGGTTTAGTTCTGGTTTAGTCCTGGTTTAGTCTTGGTTTAGTCCTAGTTTAGTTCTGGTTTAGTTCTGGTTTAGTCCTGGTTTAGTCTTGGTTTAGTTCTGGTTTAGTTCTGGTTTAGTCCTGGTTTAGTCATGATTTAGTTCTGGTTCAGTCCTAGTTTAGTCCTACTTTAGTCCTGGTTTAGTCCTGGTTTAGTCCATGGGAGTGGATCT